TGATAACCATCAAAACCAACAGAAACCATTATAACCAACAAAATTTCAATATTTAAAGTTACAAAATACTTAAAAAACCAAAAACCATTGTTTTTGGGTAATAATTTTTTTAGGTAGTTTATAAATATTTAAATGTTTTATTTGGTATTTTATTTTTTTGCTTTATTTAACTTTATATATATTTAGCGATAAAAGATGTTTTCATATTTTATGTTTAGGTTGTTAGTTAATTGCTAAAAATTAAAATGAAGAAAGATGAATTTGAAAGTTTATTAGTAACTGACAATTTTCATTTTACAAGCGCCTTTCAAGTTTTAAATGAGATGCGAGTAAATGAAGAAATGTGTGATGTAATTTTATGCACTGATGACAGTCTACGGGTTCCAGCACACCGTGTTGTATTAAGTGCTTGTTCACCTTATTTTCGTGCTATGTTCAACACCAACTTTTTAGAAGCTCACCAATCTGTTATACATCTTAAAGACTTAGAAGGTAATACTTTAGAAGACATCATAAGCTATTTTTACACTGGTAAATTGCGCATAAATTATGACAATGTAGAAGGTGTCATAAAACTTGCAAAAGTATTCTATATTAATAATTTAATAAACAAATGTGAAATTTTTTTGAGAAGAAATATGTCACCTAAAAATTCACTTGGTCTAGAGGCATTTGCATTGCATTATTCTCTTTCAAACCTGAAAGATCACGCAACTCGTTACAGTTGTTGGTATTTTGATTTTATCAAAGATGAGGAAGAATTTTGTTTACTTCCTTTTCAAAGTTTAAAGTGCTTGATTCAAAATGATTCCTTGAAAGCTACTTCTGAAGAATTTGTTTTAGAAGCTGTTATTAAGTGGTTATTTTTTGAGTATCAAAACAGGAAGAATTATGTGCCAGAACTTTTACCATTTATTCGCTTTCCATTAATGAGCATGCAATACCTTGAGAACAGTCAAACCATAAAGCTTCTTGTTGATAACTTCTCATTAGCCCAAGTATACATAAATGAAGCTCTTCAATACAAAAACTTTGGCATTTCAAAAAATTTGGATATTGGAAAAGTGTGCTCTCCAAGAGCTGCTTCAGAGGATATCTATGTATTAGGAGGTTGGTCAAATGGACAAAAATTAAAGTCTGTTCAGTGTTTTAATGTTGACACATTGAAATGGACACCAGTTCAAAATATGTCTGTGGCACATCTTACAAAAGAAGATTACTTCCGAGTGATTGTTTCTAATGATGAGCTGTATACTATTTGTATTGGTAAAGTAATGAAATATGACCCTGTGGATGGTATGTGGTGTAAAGTAGCCTCAGGACCTGAAATGCCATGTAAATGGTCAGGTATATGTGAGTGCAATGGAATTATTTATGTTATTGGAGGTAATAATATGAAAGAAAGTAAAAAATTTAATACTGACACTTGTCAATGGAGTACTTTACCTGAGATGCATCAAGTAAGGTATTATAACTTCTATTTAAGATTTTTATAGTTTATATATATATATATATATATATATATATATATATATATATATATATATATATATATATATATATATATATATATATATATATACACACACACATACACATAAATATATGTGTGTATACATATCTATCAATAGAATTAATAATATTTTTTGCTAATTTACAAATAAAATAATATATAAGTGTAAAATGCTATATTTAAAATAATAATTAATCCTAGTTTGTTATGATTGCATTTTTAAATTTATTCTTTTAAACTTTAAAATTATTCTTTTGAAGATTTTATCCTGGAGTTGCTGTTTTTAATGGAAAAATATATGTAATCGGAGGTTTAGATAATAATTGGAGCCCACAGAAGGCATGTGAATGTTATGATCCAGCTGTTGATACATGGATAGATATTGCTAGAATGAAAACTCCTAGGTGGAGTTTGGGAGTAGCTGTATTAAACAAAAAAATATATGCTATTGGAGGCAGTCACAAAGATGAACAGTTATCAAACTCAGTAGAAGTATATGATCCTCAACTTGGATATTGGGAGCGCTCAGTAGCTACTTTAAATTATGGGCGACGGTGTCTTGGTGTTGCTGTTGTAAATAATTCAATTTACGTTGTTGGAGGTCGAATAGCAAATACAATAGAATGCTATAATCATGCCCTTAATGAATGGAAAGTAATTGGTTCAGTTCGTGCATGCTGCAATTTCGGTTGTGTTGCATTAAGAATTATATAAGAGCTATTTTTTTAATGCAAGTTCATGTTGAAGCAATTCTGAGCAACTTTTGTGTTTTTTTTTATTGTATCTTGCAATCATACTGCAAGTAAAATTTTTGTGTGATACTATTTAGAGCTTATAAGTTTTTACATTAGAAATTTATTTATTTTTTATGTTTATACTATTAAAATTGTTTTTTAATAATGATATTTTATATTTGGTGAAAGTACGGCCATTTAAAGTTCTGTATATATTTATTTGTATCTATTTAATTTAAGGAATAATTTTAATGTATAGTTTTAGAATAAAATTTTTTTTGGTTTATATTACAATGAATTGTAAATTTTTGTTATATATATATATATATATATATATATATATATATATATATATATATATATATATTCAATAAGTTATTTTTTAAATAGAGTATTAGGGAACTTTTGCTATGAATTTTGTTTGTTTTTTAAATTTAATCCCTTTCAATATAAAATTACCACATAATGTAAATATGCACAATACACTTAAGCCTTTATCATTAAGGTCACACTATGTAACTTTTTCAATTAATATTATGTTTATCCTCTAGAGAAACTCTTTAGAGTTAAATAATACATATTTGTAGGAGGTGTTTCACAAAGAATAGCAATCAAGCTTTCACGTCCGATAAATATATTTACCTAATGAAACTAGGTGACTTAAATTTTTTTTTAATTAAAAAATTTTTATACATTTTATTTCAAAAAATTAAAGGTTTTATACATTTAAAATATTAAAAGTTTTATACATTTTATTTTAAATTTAAACTGACAGTTTCTGATCTCCCTTGTCACCATATCGTAATATTGTCACCATATCACCAAATCACCAAATTGTCACCATATCACCCTCCCTTGTCACCATATCGTAATTCTTAATTAACAAGTTGTCACTAACTGCTAGTGTTTTTCATTGTCGATTAAAAATAAAAAAAGTTATTCTTGTAATACAAAAATGATAACGATTCTATACCATTTAACTACAGTCTCGTATCCCTTGCTTCTGTTTTTCTAGCTGTTCTAGCGTATTGTGTATAACAAAACATAATTGTTATAAAAAAACAATATTTTATTCATTAAACAGTGTGATTTTTGAACAAAGCGTTATACTCGTGATGCAATAACTGGTTTAGTCAGTCACTTTCTAATCGGGTTCGAAAAATTATATTTTAATCATGAAATCTTTCTGACAATTTAAAACCATATGGAGTACTTAACAGCAATCTAAATTGGCTACAATGTTTTAAAAATAGAAAAGTCTTTTTTATCTATTTCTAAAACAGTGTAACATAATATTATGATTCAACCTATACAAAGTTACCAAAAAGGTAAGGTAAAGTAAGGTTCTTAGACCCTTACTATTTCTAAATTATGTTGAATTTATCCTTTTTTTTAAATTGTTTTTATACCTATTTTCAAACATACTTAATTTTGATCTTTTTGCTGATGATACTAATCTTTTTTACTTTCATTTGAATAAACAATTTTTCTACAGTACATTTTTCTCTACACTACAATTTTCTCTACAATAAATTCAGTAAATTGAGCTGGAAAACCTTGATGACTGGTTCAAATCAAACAAACTCTCTTTAAATATTAGTAAAACTAAATATATTTATTTCATCATCAGTCTAAGCTGTGATGATTACCCTTCAACTTCCTCACTAAAGACTATAGTTAACATTATAGGGGGCATCGCCTAAAATTCTAGGAAGAGTATCTGGTGAACATCTTAATTGGACAAATCTTATTACCATATAATCATATTAAAATCAAAATTTCTAAAGCAATAGACACCTTCTGAGTAGATATTTTTAAAAAGATATATCGTGCTCTTTATCCATAGCTACCTCAGCTATCGTAATATTTAATGGACAAGCACTTACCTTTAAGAAATATAAAATAAAAACAAGCCAGCACAATTATATGTAACGCTTATAAATACACCCACGCTAAATCGATGCTCTAAAATACTAAAGCTCTTAATGTCTATTATTTTCAAAACTTTTTAATCATTTTTAAAAATCAAAATGACAGAAACAGAACTTTTTAATAATCTATTAATGCTCAAAAAGTGACCTTAAATACTTAACTTAAAATATTTAAAAATTGTTATAAAAAAATAAAGCCATGAAAACACTTCTACTGTCTCAGTAAATCTCCAAAAAAAACAAAAGCAAAGTGATTTTGCGGAAAAGCAACCAAAAATGTCTTTCTAATATTAGAAAAGGAGTTCCCCATAACTATACTTTCGGTGCAAAACATAAAATCAATAAGAAACTTACAAAAAATTATTGAATAGAGGTTAAACAAAATTTATCATTTTTCATAAAACAAAAAGAAACTTTACAGGAGGTAAAATAAAACTGAGTGAGGAAAGAGAAAAGCAATTACCGATTACATTAAAAAAATGTAAATCTTCATAGGTTGTATATTAATTTATGAAAAACAAAAACAAATCTCTCTTTAGCAGGAAAAATATTTTGTCCATCACTAACAACAAACGTTGATCAACATAATAATAATAATAATAATAATAATAATAATAATAATAATAATAATAATAATAATAATAATAATAATAATAATAATAATAACAATAATAACAATAATAATAATAATAATAATAATATTTATTTGCATTAAAAAAATACATTAAAATACAAAAGGGTGAGACAGGTAATCACAAGATTACGCTTATGTAACACCTGAACAAAGGCAATATAATACAATACGCAACCACGGCAATCTACAAGTAACAGGCCCTGACACGCAAAACTTAGAAAAAAATGTGGGGGCCGATATTTCAAAAATCAATATGATAATTGTTTTAAATCAAAATATGTTGCTCCCGTTATATAAAGCATTAAACTATGTAAAAATTTGTACAATTTATAAATCTTTTTAAGTTTTTAACAATAAACTTTATTTAATTGTTTCAATTCATAAAACTTAAATAATGAAATAAAAAAGTTTTATATCAGGTAAAAAACAAAAGTTAAATAAAGTACTGTTAGGGGATAACTGCACCTTTAAATAGGAATATATTTTAGTGATTTAAATAAATAAGTAAGACTTTTAAAATCATAAAATAGAAACTTTAAATCAATTAATAAATTTCAATAAAGAAATAACATCATAAGTGTCAATAAATAACTCTCAACTTAACAAGACAACTTTAAAATTTTCAGAGACGGTTCTTTGTTTGATCTTGGTGTGGAAAGTTTGCAGTGGTTTTTGATAAAAATATTTGACAGTATATTACCATGATGTCGTTCCATGATGTCGTTCCATGATGTCGTTCCATGATGTCGTTCCATGATGTCGTTCCATGATGTCGTTCCATGTCAAAAGAGTAATGATCCGATATAAGCATAAAAGTGTTGCACAGGGATGTCCGACAAACTTTATCTTTAATAGAGTTAAATAGTACAAATGAGAAGAAAACCCATTGAACAGTATTATCAAAAGAAACTTTTAACCCACCTCTATCGACTGATTTTAGATATTGATCAAACTTTTCAAAATAAAACATTGTTCTGGTTAAAAGCTCATTTTCGTTAAGCAAACCATCATTACGAGACACATATCCGGCAATATAAACAAGAGACATCTTTGATTGAACAGTTATACTTTTTTCTAGTGTTGGTAAATAATCAAAGACATCAGCTGAAGATTCATCAAGTAAAAATTCACAAAATTGGCAAGAATGTCCTGCATCAGGAGTTGACTCATTAATGTTATATGACAACAAAAGTGAAGTTTTAGAAATATTGAACTTTCCAATTATTTGTTGGACTCTTTAAAAATATGTGCCACCAGATCCTTGTCTTAACTTGCTAAATTCTTTTTCAAGTGGGCCTGTTGTAAATTTTCCCAAAATAACATATTTGTGTTTTTCTTTTAATAGTGTTTTTGTCAACTCAATAATTCCTTTACATGTATGATTTATGGAAAATCCTGTATCATGTGTTAATTGTTTTATACGCTTCCCTTGATTACTTGTCATACGTAAAGCCATTTCTCCGAAATTCCAAATAAATTTTAATATATCATCATTTGGATCTCTGATGACAGCTTGTCGATCATCATTAAACCTACAATCTACACCCACACTTTTTACATTTAAAACTTTCCACCATGTAACAACCATTTTAATAAAATCAGCAGTCTCATTTATGTTTAAGATGTTGGAGGTTTCAGAATGGTTAAGTAAAGCGCTGTATGTTTTTTCAGAAAACACTTTTAGACAGGTAGAAACAGATTGTCTTTCAATATGACTGGGTCGAACAGAAACTTCATTCAAATCAGAAAGTTTCATTAGACATTTAGAATCAGCTTCAAAAAGTTTTATTTTATTATATTAAATGACTCCAACAAGCTGTTTTCTCAACACCATTTTCATAAAAAATTAATTCTTCTTTTTTTTCTGTGAGCCAATTGTTTTGGATGTTTTTGATTAAGTGGACAAAGTCAAACAACAAATAGGTTCCATTGGTGGTTAGCCAAGGTTTTTCAGGAAATGTGTCAAATTTTTTTAAAAATTCCTTAATTAGTTCGATTTCCATCACATATAGTTACCTTTGCGTTGCCATTAGACTCTTTAACTGCTTCAACAGTCAAATGAATTTGATCATATAAAAATTGAGAATTTAATTTGTTTACAGGTAACATTTTCACAAAAAATTTAGGTCCACCAAACATACAAGTTATCATGACACCTAAAACAGTTTTTGCAAGAGAATATGGGTTATCTAATGCTTTTTCAAAAAGAGCACCTCCATGATATAATAACATTTTTTTAACATAAACCTCATCGTGGAGAATAATACAAGTTTTTTGATCATCAATTAAATTATCAAAAACTTCTTTTAAAAAAAAATTATCATAAGATTTCAATACTTTAGAAGTAATGCGTGTCAATGTTCGAATAGAAGGTAGTTTAAAATCATCACGCAATTTATTATAAAGTGTACGAGAGGTAGCAAAATACTCAAATGCTCTGATGATTACGCTAAGACTATACTTATTTGTGTTCATGGAATCAATTTGCTCATTCATTACTATTTCCTTACTGTTTGGTATCAAAAGGTTCATGTATCGCAAGATTTCTTCAAATTTAGATCATGTGTTAACAATATTAGACACAGTATGTACTTTTCTTTTTACACCATTGAAATATGATTCAAACTTTAAACAGCTATAAAATTTAATGATAAATTTTGGTGTTGCATAATTAATAAAACTTGTGGA